TGAATAAAAAAAGCTGTATACAATGTTGGTAAGGCCACACCTGGAGTACTGTGTACAGTTTTGGTCTCTTTACTTGAGAAAGGATGTATTGGCACCAGAGATGGTGCAGAGGAGGTTCACTAGGTTGATTTCCAAGTTTAGAAGGCTGCTTATGAGGAGAGATTGAGTAGATTTGGTCTATACTCATTGGAATTTAGAAGAATGAAGGGTGAAACTAGAACTGGGGGGGCCATAGCCTCAAAATAAAGGGAATCAGATTTAGGACTGAGTTGAGGATGAACTTCTTCATCCAAAGGTTTGTGAATCTGTGGAATTCCCTGCCCAATGAAATAGTTGAGGCTACCTTGTTGAAAGTTTTAAAGTCAAAGATAGAGAGATTTTTGAACAGTAAAGGAATTAAGCGTTATGGTGAGCGGGCAGGTAAGTCAAGCTGAGTCCATGAAAAGATCAGCCATGATCTTATTGAATGGCAAGCAGGCTCAATGGACCAGATGGCCTACACCTGCTCCCATTTCTTATGTTCTTATGCATCTGCTGTCTTTGTCCCACTCAGCAGCAGAAGTCATGCGTTTGAAAAGTACTGTTGAAGGAGGTTTGTGGATATTGCTGCTCCTTGATGCCATTTACGGATGGAGTGAATATTTAAGGTGGTATACATGTTGCAGTTGAGGCAAGCTATTTTGAATTGGATGATGTTGAGGTTGGACCTTATTGTAGCCATATTCATTCTAGCCAAATAGATAGTATACCATCACACTATTGAATTGTGCCTTCCAGATGTGGTCAGGTTTTGGGGAGTCACGAGGTGAATTACACACCACAGAATTCCCAGTCTCTAACTTGCTCTTGGATCTACAGTATTTGTATGGCTGGTCTAGTTCAGTTTTTGGTCAATTGTTGCCCCCAGTCCGTGATAGATTCAATATCTTTGAATGTCAAGGAAAAATATTCTCTCTTGTTCAAAATGGTCATTACCAAGCACTTAAGTGGCAAATAATAATCTTGACACACATTAACCCATGGGTGAAATGTTTGTGGAGATCTTACTGCCTTTGTGCATAGACTGTTTCAGTATCTGAATCATCACAAAATACTGTGCAATCATCAGTGCACATTCCCAATCTAAAGAGAAGAGCATTGATGAAACAACTCAAGATGGTTGGGCCTAAGACACTCCCATAAAGAGCTCCAGCAGCGATGTTCTGGAGCTGAGATGACTCACCCTGAATGAACACCATCAGCTTCCTTTATGCAAGGTATGACCCCAACCAGCAAAGACCCTCACCCCCTCAATACCTCTCCTCACCTCCCACAAACACAATTTCTGTGGACGTCAATTTTCCAAGGAACACAATATCACTTTCAGTAAAATGCTAGCCTGATTCAGGATCCTTTGTCCATGTTCATACCAAGACTTTAATAAGGTCTGAAGCCAAGTTTCCTGGTGGACTCTTAAACTGAACATGTGAGCAAGTAATTGCTGAGTAAATGCCTCTTGATAGTTTTGCCAGTGACACCTTCTATCATTGAGATAGCAAGAACTGCAGATGCTGGAGTCTGAGATAACAAGGTGCGGAGCTGGAGGAACACAGCAGGCCAGGTAGCAACAGAGGAACAGGAAAGCTGATGCGTCCCATTTCTGAAGAAGGGTCCCAACCCAAAACGTCAGCTTTCCTGTTCCTCTGCTGCTGTCTGGCCTGCTGTGTTCCTCCAGCTCCACACTTTGTTACACCTTCTATCATGCTGTTGTTGACTGTGAATAGTCATTTATGGAATTGCTGTTGGCTGGGTTGTGTTTGTCCTGCTTTTGTAGACAACATATCTGAACAATTCTGCATATAGTCAGTTAGATACCAATATTGTAGCTGTACTCAAACAGCTTAGCTAGGTGTATGATCATTTCTGGAGCAGAGGTCTTTAGTACTATAAACTTGACTGAAATCAGTTTCCAGACTGAAAATAATTCTGTCTTGGTATCACAAGGAATAAATCATAACTGCTTTAAACTGCCATCTGAGATCCTAGGGACCTCAGAATGAAACCTACATGGAACATCAAATAAACATTCTGGCTAAAGATATCTGTTTTTTGTGCTGATGTGCTGGGCTGCCCCATCATCTAGGATTGAGATGTTTATGGAATTTCCTCTTTTCATTAGTCGATTTTTTTTTTGGTTTTTAACTTGTCCACCATCATTCATGGCTGAATGTGGTAGACTTGTCACATGAGAAATAGTTTTTTATTTAGATTTTTTTAGATCCCACTACCAAAGAAAATCCTTTGTATGAGGTATTAGAAATGGAACTATAACTGGGAAATTTCACCAATGTTTTGCAACCTTTGCCCATATATCTTTAATTACCCAAACTGGTATTTTGGTCAGACTCTGTACCCATTAGGATGACAATTTTGGACAATGAATTCATCTCTACTATAGGTGTAGCATCATCAAATGCAAGATACTGCCTCATATCAACAACTTATCTCTACTCCAGCCTCAAATCAGAAACGTTTATTACATTAATATGGTAACTAATTATTCTGTACAAGCTATCAATACAGACTGTCTAACTAAAAGTGATCATTTGAAGGCAATTAACATCGCACTTTGAGCAGAAATTGACAATCAATGAATGTCAGCATTTCTGCTACACCACAGTTTCAAAGGAAAACATCAGAATTACAAGTAGGAAAGGGTTAGATTATCCAAGATGTTGGATATTCATAAATTCTGGAGAATCACGACAACACTGCCTATCCCCCCACAATCTCCTGTGTAAGACAGTTCCATTTTACTACATAAAACAAAGACTTGCAGATGATTAAGATCTGAAACAAACAACGACAGAAATTGCTGGAAAAACTCACCAGGTGTGGCAGTATCTGTGGAAAGAGAACCACAGTTAATGCTTCAAAGCTGAAGAAGGATCACTGAACTCAAAACGTTAGCTGTGTTTTCCCTCCACAGATGCCGCCAGACCAGTTGAATTTCTCCAGCAATTTCTGTTCTTGTTTGTTCCATTTTATTAGTTGGGGTTGAACTTAAACTCAATGCACTAACGCACTTGACAATCTAATTTGAATTGGCTCTATCCGTCCTAGGATCATAAATATATGACAGAAAAAGTTAGCTTTCTAAATAACAAAATGTATATTTAGAGTATCACAATAAGGCACAGATGACAACATATATCTTTAAGTATTAGCAGTAAATATCCAGTATTTCAAACTTAAAAGATCAGTAAAATGGAATCATATTTATAACAAGCTGCACATCAATAAAACACAAAAAGACTTTGTTTACAGCTTTAAACAATGGTGCAATGATTAAACAAAATAATTATTTCTTCTGTATAGTGATGGAAAAATAGCTACATTTGGGTATTTCATGTTGCACGCATGTATCATTCAAGTTTTAAGTGGAGAATTTACATTTGTTACATGCTGGAAATGTCTTCTACAAAACAGAAAGGATACAATGTAAAACAATTCCAATAAACAGCTTGAACATGGTATAGTACAAAACAAGCAAATAGTATCACTTCATGAAAGCAAGAACCAATTCTTCACAAATAAGTTGTGAAAAATTTAACTTAGGCATTCATAAATCGATACAATCTGCATTGGTTGCATACTTATTTACACATAGTTAAAACCGTGCTTACAATAACAAGTGATGCATTCCTGAAGTCTGACCAAGGCCACCGTTAATTTCATCAGTTTCTAATCTGGTGGTGAATATTCACTAGCCAAAATTGCCAAGCATCATTCAATAGATGCCAAAATCTTATTTACAAATCTATAAAATGACTACTGGACAAACTACTTTTGTAGAGGTAAGAACATTTTATTTCTTGACCAGGTTTTAAGAACTTTGCCAATTCTCGCAAAATGTTAAATGAATTGATAACTGTTCCCTGAAGTAGAAAATTGGGATGGTCATGAGCAGGATACTGAATGATGCAGGTTCTAGTTCTCACTTCCCAGGCTGATAGAGTCACACCGAGATTTGCTGCAGCTCTCCTCCTAAGAGAGACAGATCCACAGTGATTGCAGCTCCTGCTTCTCACTCGCCAGGACAAGAGAGGCCAACACTGTGTAAGGATGATCCCTGAGTTACTTGATGTGCTCTATATGCTCTCTCCTCAGTGTGAGCCATACTGAGTAATCTTCCTCCTCTCAACAACCCTAACTCCCCAGGGAGACTAACCCACTCGGAGCGAACCCAGTGATGACGCTCACTGCCCGGGAGACCCATTCGGAATGAACCCAGTGATGACCCTCACTCCCCGGGAGATTGACCCACTCGGAATGAACCCAGTGATGACCCTCACTCCCCGGGAGACTGACCCACTCGGAATGAACCCAGTGATGACCCTCACTCCCCGGGAGA